CTCTCTCTCTCTCTCAAAAATAAATAAAGATTTTTTAAAAAATTCAAATGCTGGCTCCTCCCCTACAGTATTCTTCAGAGCCCTCCCTCCCTCACGAGGTCCTGGGTACGTCCTTTCTACAACAACAATCTCCTAAGTGGATTGCACTTTGAGCTGTCCCATACCTTGATGTCTGTGTCTGGGGTCACAAACTCCTTCAGGCACTCTATGGGACCCATGAGAAATGGGCAGTGGGAGGAGAACACCTGGAGGAGAGAGAAGATAAATGAGTTCACAGGGCAGTGCCAGTACCTGCAAAGATAGAACAAACATAACAAGGGCCCCAGCTTGGATAAGGGCCCCACCAGCCTCCCACGCGGCCCTCGCATCATGCTTCTAGGTGTCCTCTGCTCATCTGTCCCCAGAGATTTTCCGGGACCTCTACCAAATTACGTTCCCCCTCTCTCCTCAACGCTCACCACACGTCTCCGCGATTTCTCATAGAAACCCTACCCTCAGGGGCATCTGTGATTCTGGGGCAGCCCTTTGCCCTCAGCTCACCTCCCGAAGTCCCTCCTGGGCCATGGCCCTAAAACTGAGGATAACTCCAATGATGGTCATGCGTTTCAGCACATTATCAGCCCCTGCGGAGAAGGAAGAACGTGAGAAAAGTAGAACTCAGGAGACTAGTGCGGGTTTTGCTCCTGCACGCCCAGCCTAGCCCCGCCCCACTCCCCCAAAACCCCTGTCATCCGTAATGCCATGGCCACAATTCCTTGTCCCATCAGGGAGGTGCTCACCTGTCAGCTGGGGCAGCAGAGAAGCCATCAAGTCTGCCTTGCTAAAGTTGGATCTGATCTGAACAAGTACATCCATGTTTTCCACCACCAGCTTCTGCAGCCAGGACACAGAGACATGAAGCAGGAGAAGACAAGACCGTGGTACATCCCCCCACCCCCCGACCAGTCTCCTACTCCTGCCCCTTTTCCCTGAGGCTGCGCCTTTTCCCAGGCCTTGTTTCCACAGTACCTTCAGCTCCATAATCTGAGAGGTCACGTGCCACATCAGGTTCTCACTCAGGAACTTCATGCCGTAGGGGCCCAACAGTTCAGCCAAGGCCCGCATCTCTGAAACAGAGTTACAGAGGTCCCGGGTGGGACTCAGAGGGCACTGGAGTGTTTACACCACAGACAGACGGTAAATCTGAACATTTACAATATTTTTCCTCAAGGAAAGGAAGTGGGAAGTTGGGGAGCAGAAGTGGCCTGCAATCCTACATTTAGGTGACAGACCTGGCCATCCTGTGGGACCATTTACCCCCTCCCCACTGGTACTCACGCAAACACTTACCACAAATGATATTTACTTTACATTCTTACAGGAAGTGATCCTTTCCCAAGTCCCTCTCTGTGGTACCTGGGTTTTGCTCTTGCAAGACTAGCTGTACTAACTCGTTAGATGTAAGACCTTAAACAAGTCACTGACCCTTCTGAGCCTCCATTTACCTCTCTGTAAAATGAAGAAATTAAGATCTGCCCCGAATACTTCACGGAGTTGATATGAGAGTCAATAAGAGCCCATGCTAAAAATCTTAGAAGCCCACAAAGATATATATGATTAAAGGATTATTGATGTGATCATTATTAACAGCCCTCTGAGGTATACAGTACATCCTTCTGGTTTAACAGACATGGTCAAGCGCTTGTTCAAGGTCACTTAACCAAGTCAAGGGCTGGTACCTGAAACCTAGCACAATGTCTTATTGCCCCTTTCTGTAGATACCACAACTAGTTTCTTATCTAAGCTCTGGTGTCTTCTGTGCTCCTCCCTCTGCTTCCCTTATTTAATGCCTCACTGTCCAAATTTTCCTCTCCTGGACCTACCTTTTCTTTTTCATAACCAACACACATCCCCAGAATCCCAGTTGTTTTTTCCTCTAAGTCCTTCCTCCCTCTAGTCTGCCCCGGATGCCTTATCTGTCCCTACTCATCCCACTTTCGGCTCTTTGTGGATTAAACGACACCCTACTGGGGAAATCCCCTGTTGGAAACATTAGTGACAAATCCAAATAGGAAGGAGCTCCAGCGATGGTCTTTGGCCATGCATCATCCCAGCAGAGAAAATTGTACAAAACCAAAAGTAGCAACAACAAGAGACCGGTAGCAGAAAAGTGAGTTTAACATTGTTAATAGGAGTTCAGAGGGGAAAGAAATCAAGGCTCACGCTCAAGCTGTTGAAGGCAGGACCAGTTGATCTCTGCTTCCACCAAGAACAGAGGAAGTGGAACTTGGTCAGAGCCCCGTCTAGAGTAAATATTACACACTTCTGGCCTCTCCGATTTATAGTAGAAAAAACTGAGCTGAGAATTAGAAAAAGATGTGCCACCTGGTCAACTTGATAATGCCAAAATGGCTGATAGAGAGGAAGAAGGGCTGAACTGCCTCCCCTGGAGAGAGAAAACACACTGATCATCCAGTTCAGATCTGCTGAATCTCCTTACTCTAGTCTTCTCAACTCCAGGCTAGTAACCCTAGGCCATCCTTCTCTTTCCATCTATCTATTTTTACAGTAGCATTGCCCCATCACCATGGTAACTTGGGGAAATTGGGGTGGGGGTGGTAGAAGGGGGAATCAGCCTTACCTCCTGCTGCTCATCAGTTGTCAGCAAGACCTAAAGCTGATTTTAGATGCTGCCTACAGTTTGTGGGTGGAGTTGATGAAAGGGGACATCTGAAGCCTCCAGCGCGCAAAGAGTAGGGTCAGCTTACTAATGGAATCAGAATGAGGGTACGAAGGAGACAGCACTGGACAACAGAACTGTGTGCTCTTCTATAACATGCCCCCCCAAACAAGGAAGGGGAAGAATGGAGAAGGCGGGGTCACGAAAGCATCCCCCACCTGTACCAGACACCATGCAGGAGCCAGGATTTATATGGAGGTGAAAGGAGGGAGGAAACAGTAGGATAGTTCATCAATCAGTCAGTAAAACAAATCCATTAAAAAGGATCTGTATGGCTTCCAGCCCTCTTTTAAAGAGAAGGACACCCCAACTCATTCACTCCACAATCCTTACCCACCGGCCTTAAGACACAAAAGTCCTTCTAGACACTGGGAAGCAGCACCGCATGTGATTAAGCACCCAGGTTCTAGAATTTGACTGCCTTGAGTTGAAATCCCAGTTCAGACATTTATGAATGTGTGACCTTAGGTAAGCTCCTTAACCTCCCTGTGTCTCAGTGTCCTCATCTGTAAAACGGGGGTAATGGGAGTTCCTACCTCAAAGCCATTGTGAGGATTAAAGGGATTAATAGGTGTGAACATTTAGAATTTAGCCCACAGTGAATGTCATCTATTATTTTATCATCATTATACATCAGCAATCCAAGCTCTGGCTCAGGCCCTAAAATTTATCCCTCAGAAAGAAGATGCCATGACATCAGACTACTATTTAATAACTCCAAATATCAGAATTCCCTCCTTACATTTATTTATTTATCTTTTACCCTTCGTTATATGTCTAACTCTTTATTCTGTGTGGAAATGGAAAATAACTATTTACCACCCTTCGAAAAATAAACCCTTTCAGTAACTTGAGTGGCCTTACCTAGCTCCCAACTCCCCTCATTCTCCCTCTCCACCTGCAACCCCCAGGCCACTCCTCAATTCTGGCTCTCACTTAGGATCTCTTTATTGTCCCCAACGTGTAATCCCGCAGAGATGTTGAGGAGCCTACAGAATGAGCCTCTGGGAAGGTCTGGAGGCCGAGATGCTGAACTGAGGGGAAAGGCTCAGCTCCTTGCCAAGGAGACCAGGCCCCGGGCTCACCAGAGATGTCAGAGAACTCCTCTGCGCTGAAGTTCTGCTCCCCCTCTCTGGGAAGGCTGATGAAGGCCTGCATGGCGGGGGAGAGGATGATGGTGCCGCCGCTCGCCTGTCTAAGCAGACTTTCTAGGTACCTAAGGGTTGGCCAAGAAAGCACACGAGATTAGTATTCGATCGTTTCTCCCTGCCATTGCTCCCCACTACTACCACTGGGCTTGGGAAGAGAAACTCTGCCAAAGGCTGGGGTGGGGAGAAGAAACTCAAAGAAGACAGCAAAACACTCTAATTAACACCCCAAGCCATTGGCTCAACAACAACTGGCAGTGTAGTAATTCTGCTTCTCCTCCAGTCCGCAGGGTATTTCACGGGGCTGTCAGATGTAACAGTATGCACTCCCCTCTCTCAGCCCCTGCTCTTTTCCAACTGTTCTCTCCCCTCACCCTAGGCCTCTCTCTGTCAGGTAAGACAAGCCCAAACTGACAAGAAAAAAGTTCCTACTAACTGGGCTCCTCTGAAATATACTTAGCCTCAACCTCTCCAATGAGAATGTTGGAATGTTGGACTGAGGGGGGGCGCCCGGTGGCTCAGTTCGTTAAGCGTCCGACTTCGGCTCAGGTCATGATCTCACAGTTTGTGGGTTCGAGCCCCAAGTCGGGATCTGTGCTGACAGCTCAGAGCCTGGACCCTGCTTCAGATTGTGTCCCCCTCTCTCTCTGTTCCATTGTGTCTCCCTCTCTCTCTGTTCCTCTTCTGCTCACGCTGTGTCTCTGTCTCTCAATAATAAATAAACATTAAAAAATAAATAAAAGAATGTTGGACTAACCTGGAACCTGCTTCAGATTCTGTGTCTCCCTTTCTCTCTGCCCCTCCCCTGCTCACGCTGTGTCTCTGTCTCTCAATAATAAATAAATGTTAAAAAAAATTTTTAAATAAAAGAATGTTGGACTGAGGACATAGGATTCTAGAAGCCGAGTCCCAAGTCAAACCTCCTGGACTGACAGAAGCCTTGTGAGCACTGGTCATCCAGCCTCCAAATATCCCCTCCCAACCTCCAGGCAAAGGAGGGTGTGGCCAGCCCCTGCCACTCACCCAGGAACTAGCTCTGGGTCTAGGTCTTACAGAAGTCCCCTGGGTGGGGGGCAAACCCAGCCATCAAAGGTATGAGGTTTTTTTCTTTTAGTTTGAATTTGTTGTCAAAATTTTGAAAGTGGGAGACTTTCCATTAAAAGTAAGGCGCTTAGTGGGGGTAGCGATCAGGTGGAGGCAAGGGGTGGGTGCCCCCTTCAGAGAAGCTTGCCCTCTTTAACAATTCAAAGTCTTCACCTAACCCACAACACCCATTTTCCTTTCCTGACACGCCCCTGGTGGCATTCTTACTTGCAAAACTGGTCTCCGTCTTTCCCCCTGCTCAGGGGGGCTCTTTGCAGCCTGGCTCCTGCTGAGCTGATATTGGATTAAGAGCGCCACCCAGTGGCTTGGGGAGGTAGGAATCTGGCTCCTTTCCATCCTTAAACTCTCAAAGGAAACGTTGCTAATCCCTACCTCCTCTGGTTTTGGAGAGGCAGCTCCCTTCCTATTAAAAACAAACTGCTAGACTCGACATGGTCGTATCTGGGATGAAGTGATTGTATCCTGGAGATACTGTGTTAGACAGAATAGTCTTCAGGTAGAGAAGCTGGGCAAAGAGAAATAAGAGAACTTCAGAAAGAGGAAGAGAGAGCATTTGAAATTAAAACAGTAAGAATCCAGAAAAGGAAGATTAAGAACTGGAGAATAAGAGGGGAAAGGTCAAATTGCTACAGGGTAGATGAATGGGTGTTACATGGAAGGTCAGAAATAGATGGTACATGGAAAGAAGGACATCTGGGTTTGCCCCCCCGCTTATTGCTCTAGTCCTCTAGCAGAAACAAGCCTCTATTTGGGGGTCTATGACCCTCAGAGCTAAAATGCCTGGACCCAAGGTCTGACCGTGTAAAGGCAAAAGTGGTAACAAAGGAGTAAGGCAATGGAAGAAGCTAAGCAACACTGACCAATTTGTGTAGAGAGTGGTGATCGTCTGTTCCCCACACGAGTCCAGTGGCTGTGTCTGCTGCAGGAGGGCATTGCGGATGACTCTAGAAACATCTGCACCCACAAACTGAGCCAGCGACTGTATGAAACCAACATATGCCTTGACTCCTGCCAACAGTTCAGAAGGCCTCGTGATCTCCTGGGTCGTGGCATTGTAGCCAGCCAGCCACACAATGGCTCTGGGTGACAAAAATCATAATCACAATCATAATATTAAACACAGTAGCAGCACATTTATACTGTGTTCCAGGTGCTGTGCTATGATTTAACTACACACATTACCTCTTTTAAATCTCATAGAAACCCAAAAAGGTAGGTACATTTGTTAGTGCTCTGCTCAAACCCTGTCAAGGCTCCCCATCTCACTCAGAGTCAAAGTCAAAGTCCTTACAATGACATAGAAACACCTACACAGTCTGCCAGCTCCTCCAACCTAGTCTCTAACCTGACATCTGACCCATCAGTCCCTGGCTCATTCTGGTCCAGCCATCCTGGCCTCCCCCGTGTCCCTGCACATTCTAGGCAGGTTCCCATCTCAGAGCCTTTGCCCTGGCTATTTCCTCTACCTAGAACGCTCTTTCCTCAGATAGTCACACACTTGGCTTCTTCAGGAGTTTACCCAAATGTCACTTTCTCAAGCACGCCTTCCCTGGCAACTCAAGCGAATAGATTACAAATTCCAAAACAAAACACAGAAGACTGGAGTATTATTTAAGACAAAAAACAAAAACAAAAAAAACAAAACCTCTTCCCCTCATTCCCCTAATTACTGACTATAGCACTCAACTCCAATATAAGGAATATTCCTCCTACTTCAGGTGGCAATGGAAAGACAGGCAAAGTGAAGGAAGGGAATCTATTTTATTGAAGCCTGTATGTGTCAGGAACTTCGTACACATTATTACCTTTAATTCTATACCAATTCTCAATTACAGGTAATTCTCATTATAAGGTAAATATCATTATCCTTATTTGCAGGGTAGGAAACAAGGCTCAAACAAGTCAGATTCCCCACTCCAGTGTCTTAACTAATGGCCAGGATGTCAACACAGGTCTCCTGACTGCAAAATCCCCGCTCACTCTACTAAACCACTAAACCAGTGGTGATCAGTTCTGGTTGTTTACCAAACCACCTGTAGAATGTTGGGACCTTTTTTGTTAATTGCATTTTAATAAAGATACCTGAGACCTATGCCAGATTAACTCCATCAGAGTGACCACCAAAATGAATCTAACAGAACCCAACTTTAAGAACTACCATACTATGCAGGGGCACTGGGGTGGCTCAATCAGTTAAGCATCCAACTCAATTTTGGCTCAGGTCATGATCCCAGGGTCATGGGATAGCGCCCCATGTCAGGCTCCACACTGAGCATGGAGGCTGTTTGGGATTCTCTCTCTCTCTCTCTCTCTCTCTCACTCTCTCTCTCTCTCTCTCTCCCTCTTCCTCTCCCTCTCTCCCTCTTCCCCACTTGTGCTCCCTCTCTATATATGAAATAAATTTTTAAAAATTTTTTAATAAAAGATTCTCTCTGCTCCTTCCCCGCTCACGCACACGCACACACTCACATGTGTGTGCTCTCTCTCTCTCTCTCTCTCTCTCAAAAAAAAAAAAAAAAGGACTACCATACTATGCAAACATAGAAGACAAGGAAAGAGTGATACCTGTTGAGTCTGGCCTCCAGATGGCTGCTGAGATACTCAGAAGGGAAGATCGTGTGTTCAAACACAGAGAAGCTGTGCACATGATTCATTGTCAGCGCCAATTCTGTCAAGTTTAGGTGTAGTTTGTCCATGCTGGGAAATTGAGAAAGTAAAATGAGCTTTAATTACAGGGCTGGCACTACCTGCTAGTACCCAGGAAGGATTTGACAGGCCCATGACCCTCAGACCCTTTCAACTTCTAGGACATTGATGCCGCCTTCAAAGGCAAAGTAGGAAATTCACACGGAAGTGCTTTTCCATATCTGCCATTTGCCACCACCACTCCCACGTTCTTCTGCCGAATCACCTTCCCTCTTCCCTGCTCTCCCTTCTTGGAGGCAGTGGCCACCTGGCCCTCAAGGGCCCAGGTCCTCACTTGGTGACAATGCTGCGGTTCTTCCGGTGACTCTCAGCTCCTGGCTTGTCTCTCTCAGGTTCTCCTTTTCTGGGAGTCTGCCTCTGCTTCATGATTTTCTTATTCTTGGCTTTGCTGATGGTAGTGGCACAGTGCTTAGGTAGAAGCTTTAGGGACAAACACAAGTGAATAGTGAGATCCATTCCTAAAACTGACAAGGAGCCCATCTCGCAGACCCTCCACTATTGTCTATTCTTTTATTTGTCTGCCTTTCTCTCTCTTTCCTTCCAGCATCTCCTCCTTGAATGGGGGCCAATTTGAAATGCACTCATTTCTTTTAGGTATCACTAAATATCTCTCCATGGGTAGGGCTCAAAGTCTAGAAACAGTAGTGTATTTTATGGATCAGATCATCAAGTCCCCACTCACATCCTGAGAGAAACTCTTTACTGATGGAAAAATTCAAGTAAAAGGAATAGGACCTAAGAGCTCCACGCAATTACACTTTCTAGGATCTTCCAACCTGGGAAGAAAGTTATTTTTTGCTTGGATGGAACAACCATCTCTCTTTACATCCCTTCATATTCTGTCCCATGGATACAGATGCCCGTGCTATGTAGCTGTCCAAAGATTCAGAGCTCACAATATGGCCAGCACTCTCTTTCCACCTCTTTTTTTATTATTATTAATCAATTCTGTATCTCTTCTCTTCACTGAGATAGCCCAGTCAGCTGCACAGAAAATATAAGATAGAATTATATATTCAGGTTTCTCCTTCAAGATAATCATCTTAGAATTCTCTCCACTTAATCCAATGCTGCGGAGCCTGTGCAGAGCACGTCTGGAAACTCCTCATTCAGAATTCCTCTTAGAGTAGCGTAAGCACCATGAGAAAACCGGTTTTGGTACTTCACAGTCATGCTAAGAGATGTGACCCTAAAGATGTGTCAACCCTGATATTATGCCAAAACGTCTGCGGTAGATTCTGAAAGTAATTCCAAAATAGCGTAACTCTGCTCGTTATGGCAACATCACTAATTATTTATTCCAAATGATAACTTTAGAGGGGGCAATACTCATCTGGGCACAAAAGTCCTGGTGTGCGTGAAAACAATTACTCACATCATGCTTGAGTCACCCCTGATACAACACTGAGCAAATCTCTTTCGCGTCCTTTGCATGTAGTAGGGACTCAAAATAAGTGAAGAATATGCCTGCAATTCTACTTGGTTGCCTAGCTTCTGGGCATTCATCACTTAAATTTCTTTCTGGCATGTGTTTGTACTCCTCTTTCCCTTAAACCAGGACATTCCCCAAGGGCAGGGATTGTGTAACTTCCTTCTGGGACCCCCGTCCCAAAAAACCAGCACAGAGCTTAGGGCTCAGTAAGTACCAAATAATATAGCAGCTGACATCTATTGAGAGCGGTGTACTAAATCTTTAACATAATCTATTTCATTGCATCTCTATGATACCTCTGTGAAGAAACTATTTTTATCCGCATTTTACATATGAGACAATGGGAAGGTTACGTAAGTAATAATATTAACCATCCATATGTATACACAACACACACACACACACACACACACACACACAACCTGGACCCCCTTCTACCAAAGTTGCTACAAAGCCTGACTCAAACCCAGGAAGGGTGGGTAGTCCAGGAAACCTAAAAGACTCCAGGGCAACAAGTTCCTCATTTTCTAATTTTCTGAAATTTAGGTTGAGCTAATCATGACCAGGTGCTGTGAGTCAGTCAAGGTGGGGCGTGGGGGTGGGGGAAACAAGCAGACAAGGACAAGAAAGCAGCCCTGAGGATAAACACAGAGGAGGTGCCTGAAAATGTTCACATGGCCACAGATTAGGGTGCAGCTGGACAGAAAGGTGAGACAAGACAGGTGATATAGGGGCCACAGTCCTAATTATGCATACACAGGGCAGAGACGGGAGGGGGAATAAACAAGGGAGCTAACTCCTCTCTCAGAACGCTTCAAATGAGAGCACAGATTTTGCTGGTATGCAGCTGTTCAAATAAGAGTATTTTTGGACACCTCTATCTCGTCCTAAGGGAGTAAAGACTGAAGGAACTACACTAAGAAAAGAAACCTGCCATAAACTCAAGTACACAAAAGCCCTAGCTCTACTTGGGAGAAAGGGTTAGAGAACTTGGCATTTGACAGGAAGACAAGGTAGACAGAGGGAAACTGAAATAGAGAGAGAAGACTGAGCCTACCTGCTCGCTCAGGTTTCGTTGCTCAGCACAGAGCTCCAGGACGCAGTTGCTGGTCTGCTTGGCCAACTCTTCAAGGAAAGAGTTGCAGTGATGAAGGCCATGGTTCTTCAGGTGGGGGTACTTTGGAAAAGAGGAACCAAGGAAGAAATTGTCAACACCAAGACAGTCACTTCTTCCTCATAATCTGCTCTGAGCCACCACTCAGAAGAAGAAACAGACCCAGAGAGAGGACACGTTCTACATCAAGCTGAGACACTTAGGGTCACGTGTCACATACCTATGTTTGTACCCTTCTTATGACCAAAACCAACCTTTGAAATTGTGTTTTGTGGAATATGGATGAGATGTGATTAGAGAGATGACAGGGCTTAGAGGTCAGGGTACCCACCTCCTCCGGGCACATCTCATGAGTGCAGTGGACAAAATGAGCACAAATCAGAGGGAAAGCAATGGCATAACGCAACATGGTAGGTTCCTCCAGGGTCACGGCAAACATCTTCTCAAAGGTGCGGAGATGGAAGCTGCAGACAAAGGGGAAGCAGACTTAGAACCAGGGTTTAGGAGCCTGCTGGTCCCTTTGAGGTGGAGAGAATATTCATTCTTTCAACAAATATCTACTGATCTTCACCCCTCCCTCCCTCACTTCCCTCCTCTCTCTCTACCTCTCTCTCTCTCTCTCTCTCTCTATCATTCTCTCTAAGTAAGCTCTATGCCCAACATGGGGCTTGAACTAATGAACCGAAGATTGAGAGTCACATGCTCTACAGACTGAGCCAGCCAGGTGCCCCCACAACTCCCTACTCTTAAGGTAGACAGGAAACCAAGAAACTTAACCCTTTTCGATTTTCATACTGGACCCCATGGTGGTTTAGTGCTAATCTTCTTCCCTGCCCTTGTCCAAAATTTGCTATTCTTCCCTCAGAGCCTCTGCATGATTTAAATTTTTTTTTAATGTTTATTTTTGAGAGAGACAGAGACAGAATGCGAGTGGGTTAGGGGCAGACAGAGGGAGACACAGAATCCAAAGCAGGCTTCGAGCTGTCAGCACAGAGCCTGACGCGGGGCTCGAACTCACGAGCTGTGAGATCATGACCTGAGCTGAAGTCAGACGCTCAACCGACTGAGCCACCCAGGCGCCCTAGAGCTTCTGCATGATTTGGGCTATTCCCCCTAATTTAGAAGTCCTACAGTAATATTAATTCACATCCCTCCCAAAATTCGACCACTGAGGCTCCAGAAAACTTTCTCAGGTTAATTCCATGATACTAATCTTTCCTCAACCCTATATCCTCTCAATATCATGCACTCTTTCTACACTTTCTTACATTTGCAATTATTATGTTGATGTCCTTTTCACATGTACATGGGTGTTGTATCTCCCCACCTATACTGAATGCAGAGAACAGAGCCAACATATTGTGTTGTTTGTTTGATCTGCCAAAGGACAGAGTTATGTCCAACAGTGGTCACTTGATAAATGCTGAATGATACCTAAGGAAGACAAAGTAATTTTCATTCTCCAAAGGCCCTATTCTCCAACTCTCTCAATTATTTTCAGCTCCCTCCACTGAAACCCCACATTTTCCATGTCTCTTTTAAATCAAAATACCCCAAGAATAAAAAGAAGCTGCAGAAGGTTCCAAAGATACCAGTGTGGAAAAATATATACTGATGAATTATCACAGATAATTATCCTAAAGAAAGCCAAAACAAAAGGGAATCAACCTAAAATTCCTATGATTTGGTAGAACCTGGCATGAGTGAGTTGGAGCACCTGCCTCTAAGGAACTCTCAAACAATATTTTCCCATCTGTTGGAAGGAACTACTGTTCTCCACAGAAGCCAGGGAAGAGATCAGGTCAAATGATAAAGAGCTCTGAATAAGGGCATACCAGAAAGTAGACAAGTCAGAAGTTTCCACCAGTATAGTCTCTACTGAGTCCAGCATTCGGGAGTGAAAGACAATGAGATTCATCACCTTGGCTAAGTCAGGATTCTCATGAAGGTGCAGGGGAGCCTTAGCCACACTGGTATATGCCTGTGGTTGGAGTTAGGAAAAGGGTGGAGAAGAACAAAATAAATGAAAAGGACAGCCCACCTAGGAGCTACAGTTTGGCTAGGGTTTGTCCTGTCAATCAGTAGTTGTCAATGTTGAATCACTCTATACAGCAGAGATTAGGAAATAAACAGAGAAGGGATTGTTGAGGAGGAAGAACCTTGAGAAGGCGGGACCATTAACAGGAACAGACCTACCTGTAGACGGAACCAGTCCAGCCTCAATCCAGAGAATTCAAATTTCTCTCCACTATCAACTACAAGAAAAACAGAAGTTTAAAAGAAAATAATAAAACAGCACCCTATATCAAACTCCACAGAATGGTAGGTCCTTTTCAAAGTCATCTTGTCCCACTCCCTGGCTCAAGAGATCAAGATTTCTAGAACAAAAGATGTTCACCCTTATATACCTTACCTTCTCCTCTTCCCTCCAATTACCTTGTTTGAGATTGAGATTGGAGAGAGTACTGACGAATGAGGACATTATAATGGACTCCTCCTCAGGACACACAGACAGGTTCTAAAAGAGAAGTTCGAGTTGACATCAAGTGGGTAGAGGTTCCACCAGGACAGAAACCAGGACCACAAGGCTCAGTCAGTTAATGAAGGTAGAAAGAACTGGTAAGTGCCAGAAACAGAAAGAGCTAACCAAGAGATGGAGGAAATCCCCTGGGTTCACTGCCATGCTAACACCCAGTTTCTCTTTATTTTTCTCTCCTATTTCTAAGTAGTATTTTTCTCTCCTATTTCTTCATGTAAGAAGAAATATTCTCTCCTAAGTATTTTTCTCTCCTATTTCTTCATGTAAGAGGGGGGAAAAAAAAAGACCGTGGAGATTATCGGTCTTTTTTTTTTCTTTCAACAAATGCAGAGAGGAAAATTGGGCTTTTTGACAATCTACAAAGCATGAGATTCAGCCAGGGTGGCCCCCAGTGGGAAATGACCAGGGATCGCCCTGACAGTTCCAAAGTTTAGTTAATTAAACTTACTTGAATGATGTCACTGAGCACAAGGGCATCAAATCTGGCCAGGTACTGAAGGTGGTATTGCTGTATCACTTTGATGTGTCTCCGGACAAGAGCCCTAATCTCCTCCAATAAGAAAAGCAATTCTGCAATGCTCCTGCAGAGTCGAGGAAGAGAACAGGGAGGTTTTGAGACTAGAAATATCAACTGAGACAAAGACAGTGATAATAGAGCAGAAACGGAGACCTCCTGAGGTCATTTGATGCCTCCCTGTTCCATTTCCCAATCCATCTAAGGTCAAGGCTCTTAACCATGTCAAGTACTTACGAGTCAACATAGTCCTCAGGTGTCTTTGTCTTGGTGACGTTTTCTGTGTGGCGAACCAGCCAGGTGACCTCATCACGAATGAAGGACAGAGCCATGAAAGCATAAAGGGCCTAAGGAAAGGACAGAGATTATGAGAATTTTCAACTTTAAAAATGGACTTCAGAGCACAGAGAACCATCATGATAATATGCCTACGGACACAATCGTGTAACCTCACCAGCAATAGTATCCAATAATAAACACAGAGACCCATAAAAACCACGTGAAACAGAATCAGACATGCACATATGTTGACATTAGCTCACAGTCAATACTATCTCATCTCTATTAAGTCTTGGAAATATTTAGTAGGCATTTATGTGGTTTGGCAAAAAAAAAAAAAAAAAAAAAAAAAAAAAAAAAAAAAAAGCAAGCTCTATCTTCAATTAGATCACACTCAAATAGAGGATAAGACAAGTACACAAATAGCTATAATGCATCATATACTACCCCCTGATGGTACCCAATAAAGAGATCCAAAAAGTTTTGGGGTGCTCCAGGAGGATTCAAGGGAATCAGTGTATACATATATAAACAGATCACGAACGAATCAGAAATGCAAAAACTAATGAATGCCAAGTCACTCCCCCACAGAGTCTTTCATCATTGGTCATCATTCCCCTGCCAGCATTTCATTTTCTTGCCTTGGGACCCAGCAGTCCTGGCTCATCTGTTAACACAGTCTCCAGCTCCTTCACTGCCATCCGCAGAAATTGGCGCCGTTGACAGTGAAATTGGCCGCTAAGGAAAGAAAGTAGAAACAAGAGAATAGTGCCTCTCCCATCCTTAAAAATCCTCCTAAGGCATTTAGGAAGGGGTATCAGATAGGAGGAACATTCAGTGCTGCCATTAGACTTGGTAAGAAAACACAAGAATCTGTGGGGAAGCAGCAAGTTCTTGGGTTGAAGCAATTAAGCTGTGGGCGGTTTAGGTGAGAACAAAGGTCAAGAGAGATTCCTATTCCATCCCCTCTTGGCGAGCCCATTCCCCACCTTTACCTGTTTGCAATTACATGCTCCTTGCTTTCCTTTATGTCTGCCACTCTCTTGCCATACCTGAAAATTGACACAAGCACAGCAGGGTTGGCCACACCACCAATTAGAGACCTTGTCCCACCTTCCCAGTCCTGAGAGATTCCAAATGACAGCCTATGTATGGGAAGCATGGGCACCCCTCACTTTCAGGATCTTTCCAAACCCAACTTTTCTCCCTGGCCTACTAATAAGAGACTCATACAGCTTAGAGATTATCCAGTTCTCCTCACTATTTTCGGATGAAGAAAATAATATCCAGGGAAGAGGAACGACTTGCCCAAGGTTACATAGGGTTGTAATGGCAAAACTGGGTCTGGACTTCTTGTCATGTGCTCCTGCCTTGACACCATTAGGCCAAGTACTCTTCCAGGTTTGGGGGAGACAAAAGAGGCAGTGCATAAATATGACACGGGCCCTGCTCTTAAGTAGGAGTAGTTACTCCAGCTCTACCTTGGATTCCATTCTCACCCTTCTCCTCTTAGAATTTTTCTTTATCAGTTACCTCTGTCACTTGGTCTCTCCCTCTCCACCAGTTTATTCTCTACTCCCAACACATAAGTTCAAAGCCTCCCTTATCCTGAAAGACTTTCACTTGACCTTGACAACCTGCTGAACTTTCCTGTCCTCCCACACCACCAAACTCCTCCAAAGACACACCTAAACTCTTGACTTCCTCACCTTTCACTGACCCTTGAATCCCACAAAGCTTTTGACACTTAAAAAACTGTTCTCTCTAAAGTCAATGTGAACTGTTGAATCACCAAATGGCCTTTTCGCTGATCTTCACTTGTCTGTAATATTTGACTCTCCTGACCATCTCCTTTTTCTACTAGTGATCCAGGCTCAAAAATCCCACATTACTTTAGGCTCTGTGTGTTCCCTGTGTCCATCGGTCTTCTCTTGTCCTGCATCACTGTTGCCACTGCATTAGTCAAACTTCATAACCTTTCTTTTCCCTTTTCCAAACCACTCTCTTACTGAACTTGGCACAGAATGAAAGAAATTTAGATTTGGAAAGTATCTTAATTAAATCATGATTCAACTCCACAGCATTCCTGGTAGATAATTTTTTCACCTCTACATAGTATGATGGAAAGCGACAGGATTAGAGTCAAATAATCTGGAATCATTTCCTATTTCCAATGAGTGGCATTGAGATTTAATTCCATTTTCTCATCTATAAAAAATATATTAATACTTACACATGAATATAAGTACCATGAAGATCAAATTAGATCATTTATACCAAAAACCTCCCTCAACTATAAACCTTACATCTTAGTTGTTGTTCTTAGTGATGGGGAACTGAACACTCTTCAAACATGCCTTCCATTCCTTAAAAGCAATAATCATTTGGGGCACCTGGGTGGCTCAGTCGGTTAAGCGTCCGACTTCAGCTCAGGTCATGATCTTGCGGTTTGCGAGTTCGAGCCCCGCATTGGGCTCTGTGCTGACAGCTCAGAGCCTAGAGCCTGCTTTGGATTCTGTGTCTCCCTCTCTCTGCTCCTCCCCCACTCATTCTCTCTCTCTCTCTCTCTCTCTCTCTCTCTCTCTCAGAAATAAAGAAACTTCGAAAAAAAACAAGCAATAATTATTAGAAAGTTTTATAGCTATACAGATATGGATGTAGATATAGACCCAAATCCACCCCTTGTAACTTCTAATTATTAATCTTAGACTTACTCTCTCTTAACTCTGACAGTGATTCTTTTTATGGTAATATCCAGTTGTTGAGAGTATGAGGAATAAGTATTCTCATAGACTGCAGATAATACAGCTGTTTGGAGGGCAATTTGGTAGGAGCTATTAAAATTTGGTATATGCATACCCTTCACCCCAGCAATTCCACTTCTGAGAATCTACCTTAGAGAAATGTTCATGAAGATATGCGTCTAAGAATGTTCATTATAGCATTGTTTGTAATGATTTTTTTTTAAAAAAGGAAACACTCTCAACTATGCTTCAGTTAAAAAACAAAGAAAGGAAAGTGGAAATGGTTCAAATGTCCATCACAGGGGATTGGGTAAATAACTTATGTTACAACCACATAATAGAATACTATGCAACTGTTAAAAAGAATAAGATAAGTCACTATAGACAGACATGAAAAATATCCGAAATATAGTAAGTGAAAAAAAGCAAACTGCAGAACATAATGTAGCGGCGGGTCCATTGCTCTTTAAAAATTGCTTATGTAAGGCTGAAAACACATTCACACCTTTACGTGTTACAGACACACAAGCATCTGGAGGACATACGCCAAACTATTCCGGGAGATGAGATTGTAGTCAACGTCCACTTTCTATTTTGTACATTTCTGGATATTAGTGCGCAATAATAAAAAAGTAATAAAGATATGTGACCCCTTCCTCAATCCAACGCCTCCTTCTCTTTATAGTTCTCTCTCGATTCTTCCCTTCACAGTCAAACTTCTTAAAAGAATTACTTATTGGGGCGCCTGGGTGGCGCAGTCGGTTAAGCGTCCGACTTCAGCCAGGTCACGATCTCGAGGTCCGTGAGTTCGAGCCCCGCGTCAGGCTCTGGGCTGATGGCTCAGAGCCTGGAGCCTGTTTCCGATTCTGTGTCTCCCTCTCTCTCTGCCCCTCCCCCGTTCATGCTCTGTCTCTCTCTGTCCCAAAAATAAATAAACATTGAAAAATTAAAAAAAAAAAAAAAAAAGAATTACTTATTAAACTCCTTATCTCCCATTTGCTTCTAAACCCACAACCCGGTTTTCAACCTTACCACTCAACTGAAGTTGTGCACAGGAAGGGCACTAAGACCACCTTTATAGCCACATCCAATGAACATTTTCCAGTCCTCATTTTCTTTGACTTCTCAATGTCATCTAATGTAAATAACCGATCTTCCCTCCTGAGAATGTTTTCTTCCCTTCACTTCTGCCTTCCCTCTTCCCCAAAACCCTAAAAATCTCAAAATAAGATTAGTTGGCTCTCATGTCTCACCCTTTCCAACTGCTAAATAAGTCCTCGGTGACCTTGTGCACCTGTAGCACATCCTCCCGGATTAGGGTGATGTACAGGGAGCCCTGCAGACACAGCTTCCACAGCTTCTGGCACTGGTTGTTGGAGTTGAGGCACCCATTACAAAGAAGAAACCCAACTGCAGGTAGATAAAATAGTGCAGATGAAGACTTTTAGAATTTTCTATCCACATAACACGCTGCGACATCTACTCCCACCTGATCCCATAAAACTTACTGATAATCCAGCGCTCCATCACTTCCACAGATAGGTACTCACAGGCCATCTGGGAGAAGAGAGGCAGAGATGGTCAAGCAGTTATTGAACCTGGTCTTCCCCTAAAGACTAAGGCAGTCAAGACCAGGGCAGTCAAACTAGAATTTAAGTATCAAAACCAACTTTTATTTTACCAGACTGACTCAGGACACTTTGATAAACCAGTAGCTGGGGAAACTGCCAATCATGGAGGTGAGGCAGTGGAAGTGAAATGAGCAAAAATGAATACACTTGAGAAAAGGAAATGAAGCTTGGGCTGGAAGTTGGGACAACGAAACATGTAATATAATATCTCTTCAACAGCTTAGAAAAGCAATACTCAAAATGTTCTCATGATCGCTTCCTCCTTTGGATTTTTTTGCCACCTCAAGTACAAATCGGCGTTTCTCATTCATCTTGTACCATCTCTTGTGTTTTTATGACTACGTGCCATATGTTCCCTCCAAGAGTTTAAGTTCTTGAAGCACGGATGTTGGGCCCATATTAATTGAATAAAAATATTTGTTCATTAACTGATGCCTATGTTTAATTTCCTGCTGGGCTGAATAGGTGTCTAATGACTCACTTTCATCTGTCCATTCATTCTATGGTTATTCATTAAATTCTTCCTATGGGCAGCCACACGCTAATCCTGGTCCAAACAAAAGCTCGAATCCAAACATGATTTTTTAGCTATAAGAGGTTATCAACTTAGATGCATATCCTAGAAGAGGGCTAAAGCACTCTTAGGGATGATATTTCTTGAAAGAAGCACTCTCTACAGAGATGGCCTTGGCAAAGAGAATGTCATCACTGACCAGAGAAGGGAACGTACTGTGTCTGAATTGGCAGGGTTAATCATGGCTGGGGGGCTGCTGATGAGACTCAGAAGCTGGGCACTGCGCCACTGCTCAGCCCCCTGGGTCCTCCGGACGAAGAGGAAGTGCAAAGAGAGGAGAGCTTCACTCACAGCCTGTGGGAATAAACAAATGAATCCTTAATGTCAATGACGAGGACGATATACTTCCACCAGAGGAATTCTCCACTCTCTCAGGAAACTTGCCTTCGTGTGAGGCCCAAACTCCTCTGTCAACTTCTTCAGAGGGTGATCATACTCCAACACCATCTGCCCCAGACGGGCAAAACTGGGGTCACTGGAAAAAGCATAGGAAAGAAGAATTACAGGTCTCCCTTGACCATGATGTAAACTCTCATGTTTGCAGATGGGATAAAGCTGTGTGCATAGGCTGGCATCCCCCTCCACCTTCAAAGATATAGAAACTAAACTGTGAGTTACATATATAGATAACCCATTCCAGACCCAAGTGTATCAAGCTATTAGATAGAACTACATAGTTTGGGGCAGGTCCATGAAAGTTTCTGCCATGTAAGTACCCAAAATAGTACTGAACACATGATAGGTACTCTATAAATTCACGTTAATTAGTTGCAATTCAAGTAACATGCCTAGGTCCAAATCTGTATACAACCCAAAAAGATACAAGTAAATTCAAAGCCAATGGGTAAGGCACGTGCCTAGGTATTCCTGGAGACACATGGGAATACACATCATACATAGAACAATGTGTCACAGCCTACTCTGATTCTTCTCGTCTTCATTTTTTCAGCCCTTAAATATTTTTATTTGCACTAATGGAGGGGCACAGAATTTCAGATGATCCAAAATCCATTTATATTTGGCTTCAAATGTACTATCATACATTACTTACCTCTAATGGCTTTACCTTGCTAATATTATTCCTACCAATACTAAAAAAAGAAAACTTTATCTTCCTTTCGCAATAACCTGAAAAGCACAGTGGAAGCCAGCCCAGGATTAAAAAATGATCAGAGACAATGCAAATTGGATAATCCGCTAGAAGATACTCAAGAGTTAACTATATGTAAAAGAGCTGTGCACTTGTTGATATATGCCATTATAAGGATTTAAAAAAAATTTTTTTTTTGGGGGCGCCTGGGTGGCTTAGTCAGTTAAGCATCTGACTTCAGCTCAGGTCATGATCTCACAGTTCGTGGGTTCAAGCCCCGCGTCGGGCTCTGTGCTGACAGCTCAGAGCCTGGAGCGTGTTTCAGATTCTGTGTCTCCCTCTCTCTCTGTCCCTCCCCTATTCATGCTCTGTCTCTGTCTCAAGAATAAATAAACATTAAAAAAAAATTAAATTTTTTTTTTGGCCTGGATCATCATGTAGATTGTAAGTCCTCAAATGAGAAAACATGGATTCTATTTCCTTTGCGTCCACCTTGTACCTCATACCACCATGTATGAGATTCTTCATCTCCTAAATCCTTTTAACTCACCTATGCCCATGCAGCATCTCATGGGCACAGTTGTACATGCCAATGAGTACCCGTCGGTCTTCAATCCGTGACAGAAGTAAAATAACTGAGGTGTAAGTCACGATCAAGTCCAGGTAGCTCCGGGTGAAGTCAAAGTTGAGATTCTGCAAGGAAAATACATAGGAACCCAAGAACAGCAAGGCCAATTAATTCCTATTTCACCCACCATTCCAGACAGTACTAAATAGACTCTGAAAGGGTCTGTTTAGAAGGAGGAACTGGTAGGATGGAAAATTCAGAAGGAGAAAATCAGAACCACAGTCAGGGGTTAAAAATGAGCTCAAGATACAAAAAGGCCAGGAAATTTGGTAACATCTGGAGGTTAGAAGAGGTGGAATAAGGACATTGTTATATTAAATAAATCATACTGCTGATCTGCTTCACATGTAAATATCCTTTAACTTCAGCACTTTATACAAAAGAACTATAGTCACGGAGTGAATAATACAGTATATTATATTAAACATATCGTAATATATTATCATCCTGAAGGAATAGCCATTCTTCCAGTCCCTTCCCAACCCACACTGTTCCAACCAAGACCTTTTCTAGGGTAGAAGAGAATGACGAAGAATCTTACAATATCAAAATGGCACTGGCAGGCATCAATGGTGTTGAGAAGCTCATATACATGATCCTGGGGGTAGAATTGGAAATGAGAATGAATAAAGAATAAAGAGAAGGTGACATGTACTACTAGAACTTGAAGGGAAGGTTCTCTCCCTTAGAAGTCCTAGAGAGCCACTGAGTTACATAAAGGAAGCTGAATAGAGGGAGTTTCTCCTCAGGAAGCCATCAGTGGGCCCCTATTAAGCTTACCCTACCAAATGCCCAAGTTTCCACAGACACAAGTCACTACTATATTACACATACTCTCCCTAATTTTATCATCCCAGTGCCCCCTTCCTCCACACGCACACACACAAAAAGGTTACAAAATGCAGATCATCTGATAGGCTGTTTCTAAGATACCAGAAATTAGACCCATTTTTTATTGATAAATCCCAAAAGTTTTTCTTGTAATCCATCTCCCGTTTTCAGAAATTAGTCATTAACAAATGAGACTATAACCCAACCTTCTATGTTTCTATTTACTGACCACTTACTATGTGCTAAGTACTTACTAGGTAATTTGCATATCCTTCATTTAACCCTCATTCCAGTGTGATAGGGATTCGTTTTCTTTTCATACATAATTTTACCTAAATAAATATGCAGTTTTATTGTGGACACTTCCCTCCCCCCACATCGGCACCACCCTCCATCCTGCCCCAACCCCCCCAGGTAAACCAGTTTAACAACCCAGTATGGCCTTTCTTAATTTTCTCCCTATTTATATAGTCTTATTCAGATGGGGGGGGGGGAGGAGAAAACTAGAGAGAGAGGTTTTTTCATCATCATTTGTGTTATAAAATTGAGATAATGTTATATTCTTCTTGCCATTTTGTTTTTCTCATCCAACCTTATCTGCTTAAAGTCCTCCAAGTCATCTGGTAGAACACTAATGTACTTCTTTTTAATGGCCACATAATAGCCCATGGTATGGTCAATTCATTCAGCCTTTTTTCCCACTGATGGACATTTTCTTTGTTCCCAGTCCCTGGCCTCTCCTTTGTTCCCTATTCCTAACATATTGGCACTTTCATTTCTACAAGGTGGAACTGCTAGATCAAAGAATATATATATATTTTTTTACTTTAAAAATGTGTTGCCAAGGACTTGAGCAGATACTTGATAATAACAAATATACACATGGCCGATAAGCAAATGAAAAGATGTTCAATGGTATTGGTCATCAGAGAAATGCAAATTAAAACAACACTGTATACCCATGAAAAGGCTAAAATTTAAGTCAGTTAATAGTAAGTGCTGATGAGAATGTGGAGCAACTGGAACACTTATATATGACTGATGGGAGGAGAAAAGGGAACAACGACTTTGGAAAAAAAGTTTGGCAGTTTCTTACAAAATTAAACATACACATACCATTTGATTTAACAATTCAATTTCTAAATTATTTTCCCAAGTGAAATGAAAAATATGTTTCCACAATGACTTGTACTCAAATGTTTATAGCATCGTGGGCATAATGGCCACCAATACGTGTAATGGACACAACCCAATGGCCATCAACAGGTAAATAGATAAATTGTATCCATACAATGGATCAGTACTCCACAAAAATAGGAAATGAATCACAGTTACATGAAACAACAGAGAGACATCTCAAAAACATTATACTGAGTGAAAGAAGCCAGATACAAAAGAATGCATGCTGTATAAATTCTAATTATATGAACCTGTGGAAAAGAGAAGAAAAGAAAATTCTAATCTAGAAAGCAGATCAGTGGTTGCCTGGGGCCAGGAGTTGAGGAATAGAGATTGAACTGGGAAAAAAAAAAGGCTCAGGAAACATTTGGAGTGATGGAAATTTTCTATACTCTCACTGTGGTGGTTTTTACATAGGTGCATATATGTGTCAAACTTATTAAAACAGGAAAAAATGTTTCCACGTTATCTTCCCCAAAAGACCTAATCTAAATTAACACATGGGGGATTGGGGCGCCTGGGTGGCTCAGCCAGTTGAGCATCTAACTCTTGATTTCAGTTCAGGTCGTGATCCCAGGGTTGTGGGATCATCAAGCCCCATGTTCGACTCTGTGCAGAGCGTGGAGCCTGCTTAAGATTCATTCTCTCTCTCTCTCTCTCTCTCTCTCTCTCTCTCTCTCTCTCTCTCTCTCTCTCTCTCTCTCTCTCTCTCTCTCCCCCTCTCCTCCATGCATGCACACTCTCCCTCTCTCTCCCTCCCTCCCTCTCTCTCTCTCTCAAATAAATGAATAAATAAATAAATAAACACACAAAATTTAAAAATAAATTAATACATGGGGAAACCAAGGCTAAGAGCAGTTAAGATACATGCCTATGATCACAAACTAGTAAGGGATAGTATCAGAATTAGAACACAGAGCTCATGATTTTCCCTGTATACTACATGACTTCTAAATCTCTGTCTACCCCTATGTTGCCTCATTTGCTAGGAGGGCCTTTCTACCACACCTTCCTGAAACCCAATTCCCAAAGATTATAGATGAGATTTACTATCGGCCACTCACACAATGTCACTACATAAGTCTTATCTTCTAAAGGTAAGAATCAAAAGAGAATGGAATTAGCATTTGTTGGCCTATAACCTTACTATATGCTAAATACTGAGCTAGATGTTTTCCCTGCATCATCTCATTTAATTCTCACAAATACCCCACATAGATCTTATTTCCCCATTTTATAGATAAAGAAACTGGAATCCAAAGAGTGTCCTGTCTAAATTTATACATCTGGCAAATGGTAAAGCTGAGATTTGAAACCAGGTCTGTCTGATTCAGAGCCTACCTACTTTACAATGCACAATATCTCAGTGTCTCTATTATTCCTCTTACCCTAAATGAGCGATACCATACACCCTGGGCTCAGAACTTTACCAATGCAGCAACCAGAAGGTGTCCTAAAATCCCCTTTGGACCCAAAGGTTTCCTAGTTTATATGCATCCAGCATTCTTTCCACCACCTCCACCAGTGCCTGCCTACCTTCTTCCTAACCACTACCCTCAATTCCAAGAGTAATAACTTCTGACCTGACCCTCCTTCAGACCTTACAGTTTTCCATGTCCCCACTTCATTGTCTGATGAAAGGCCTGTATTAGCCCCCTCGGGTAGATTTGGGGCACCCAAAGCAGGGTTCCATACTCTTGTTTCATCTGAAGAAATCACAAACTTGGATTGCTCAGATGGCTAAAATTTGTGTTATTTCTTGAATACGTAAATAACACATGCTCATTGCAGAAAAATTATAAAATACAAACAAGCATAATTTTAATTCATTTTTTAAAATCACTCAAAATCCCACCAATCAGAAGTTCAAATTTTCTTTATATGCGTGTTTCCCCGTATAAATATACATATTAGGGACATCTTATGTCTTACTATATTATAATTTGCTTTGACATTAAAGAATATATGAAATGGGGCGCCTGGGTGGCTCAGTCGGTTGGGCGGCTGACTTCGGCTCGGGTCATGATCTCGCGGTCCGTGAGTTCGTGCTCACAGCTCAGAGCCTGGAGCCTGTTTTGGATTCTTGTCTCCCCCTCTCTCTGACCCTCCCCCGTTCATGCTCTGTCTCTCTTTGTCTCCAAAATAAATAAACATTTAAAAAAAATTAAAAAAAAAAAGAATATATGAAAAACATTTTTCCAT